TGGGGCAGAGAGAAGGCCTCCAGGCTATGGTGACAGTGGGAAAGCTCTAGGGAGCCAGGGTATGAGGATCCAAGGGCCCACGCACCTGAGAGTGTCCCCTGTACCATCCCACTATTATGATCAAAACAGAGCTCTCATCCTTGGCTCGGGCCTCACTGTTCAGCAGCTAAGAGTCTCTAGTCTGTCTCGCTAACTTCCTAATGGATCCTTAAAATAATTTCCCACAAATTGAAGCAATGTTAGTAAATCTCCCTCTGTTACAAACAAGAACTCTAATGAAGAGAGCTTACCCAATGGGACAACAGGCCCCTCCTTCCATTTTCAACATCATAATTTTCTCTGAGGCTAAGCTCGAGGTCAAACCCTTCCCTATACATTTCCTGTTGAAATGAATTATCTAGGCAAGGCAAGTGGGCCACCAGATGCCATATGGGCTGGCTATGCAAACTTTGGGCATGTTTAAACACAACAGTACTCTTGGATAGAATCAGGTTTGCAGAAATATCTTGGCAAACATTTTTCAAACAGCAATATGAAAGGGAAGAAAATAGAAGAACATCCCTCCTTTTCAGGGTTGGAGAAGGTAGGCAACCAGGTAATAGACTTGTCTGGGGTCAAGAAGAAAAGAATGAGAACATTGCCTCCACATCCTAGACTGTGTTTGAATGGAAGGCCCTAGTTGTTAGTTTCTGATTAGGATACCCTTTAGTGGCTTGGTAGCTGGACGTGCAATAACACGCATTTCTCTTCAGGGTGAGATTTAGGATGATAGGAGGGTTAAGGAAGAGACAGATGGTGACAAGAGTCAAGTCAAGATCATAAAATTGCACAAGAGCTCAAGGCCATAGGGGCAAAAAACTTAGGGTTTGAGACAGAGAATAATGGAGGAAGCGCAAAGTAATACCTAGGATGACCCAGGTGTTGGTCATGACCCCTTTATGTAGTTTTGCCATGTGGCCACTTGAGGGCGCTGTATCCTATGCACTCAGGAATGTATTTTTATCCCCAGCATGTAAACTGGTAAACTCTGTTTAACAAGGATAAACATATGAGTGGTACCCATGGGAGGCGGAGACCCAAAATGACCCTTCTTTTCTATTTTATTCCCGTGTAACTGCAAGGTTTACATACAATAACCTCATTTAAAATCTATTTGGTTTTTAGTAGGGTCTCAGTAAATATTCGTTCCTTCACATATACACAGACACCCAAATATATAAATTTGCCAAATACAGGAACAAGAGAGGGACATAAGGAGAAATTACACCCACCCTTCATCTCACTAAAGGGGTTAGAACTTGGAAGTTCCGACGTGAACAGAGAGCTGCGGTAGGAAATGGCTTCAGAGAGCAAATGTATGCTGCTTCTTTCTGTGTGTCGCAGCTTGCACATAATAGCCAGAGGGAATAGAACACAAACAGCTGGGAAATAAAGATGAAAGCAAAACGGCATCAGCAGGGAGAGACATACAACCCCCCGAGAACCTGGCCGTGTCGGGAAAGATAATTTGAACAAGGTCACCTGCCTGCAATTCCTCTTGGAGAAACAACAGTAGACTCCTATGCATTTATGACCATCTCTATGGGGGTTAAGGTGGGGCATAAAGTACAGGGGCCCAGCTTTCAGATTTCTAACTAAAATGCTGTTTATAAAATGAAGCAGAGCCACAGACAAAAATATGCATTATTGCAAAGGCTAAATGTGGAATTTCAGATGTCTGAAAACAAAGAAATTCTGCTTCCCTGAACAAATGGAGCAGGCTGAGGTCATCTCCACCCACCGCCACCATACAGCACGGTCTGTGGCCTTATGCTGCCCTCTAGTGTCCTTTCAAGGTATAGTAATTCAAGGGGGAAAAAAAGCGAAATATCCTGAATCAGTCAATAAATGTGACTTCAGTCAAGAATGGACACAACAAAACTACAGTTATAAAATGAAAGCAAAACAAAGATTTATAAAACAATTTTTAAAATGAGTTAAAGTTGTCCCAACACAGGTCTTGCACTATTTCAGGACTCTGTAACACAGTGCTCTCTGAAAATTCATTGCTTGAACATCCCTGTCAAATAGAAACTGCCTCAGTTGACTTGGGCTGGGATCCACAAATGTGTTTTATGAACGTGATCCTTCAGTTCTGACAGTTCAGTCCATTGGCCTCACCGTGAAAAGAACCAAAGATGACAGCAATGGCTTTGAGCAGGGTGCAGAATCGATCTGATTAATTTTAATCAATTCTTTAGGGGTACAGGTCATAAAAAAAAATAAACAGAATAAAACCATCGACTCAAATGAGACAACTTTCACTCTCCCTGAATCTAGAGCGGCTCAATTAATCCTACGTCACTGTGAAGGTCTGGGTGGGAAGGAGAGAGAAAACCAAGCTGCTCTTCCTCATTCTTCGGATACCCCTCAAACCTTACTACTTCAAGAGTCTCCCTGGTGCTTCCTTCTTGGTTTCAATGCCAGACAGGGCTCCAAATCTCCCCTCCTTCTCTGTCCTGTATGCGATGCCTCAGCATCGGTCTGCTCAGTAAGACAGTGGCTTCTCATTGCGGACACTATCATCCTCCTCCCAGCTCTGCTCTCCGCTCTTGACACGATTCAGGGCTCAGAAAATACCATTTGGTTAGTGCCTGCAGCCAGGCACGCCAAAGCGGGTTCTGACGGAAGACGCACAGCACCTTCATCGCACTCTTGAGCCCCCTAGTGGCCGAGGTCACATATGACAAGAGGACTTTGGGACTATTGTTGCCCTTGGGCCCACACACCCAGGTTACAAGGGGAAAGCTGGGCATAATTTTAGGAACTTGTTCTCACTTTGTGACTCAGTCTAGTAAGTCTGAAAATACCCGTGAATTTCACAAGATTGAAAGTAATAATCATTAGTAAAGAATCTAATTATTCAGGTGAGAAATTTTATCACATCAAGACTAAAGTACATTTTTTTCACTTTTAAAATTTTAAACATGAATGCATTCTAAGGTTGCATTTTGAGCTGGTGTTAGAAATACATATGCTTTCACCACGTTAAATTTAATTGTGCTTTTTCAAAAAGTAAGGGTATTTAGAATTTAGCATTTAACATCTTTACATTATATATCATTTGTGTAATTCACAATTTTAGGTATTTTATCACAGGAAAAGCCCTATTTTCAGCAGGATGAAACATTCTACATTTGAAGAAAAGTCAGCTGTGTAGGCTTCTAAGGTTTGGAAAGGTGCCCTGTACCTGCCCACCCCATTTTATCCCAGCTTCCTATTACACTCATGTGTTTTTATGAATGATAAGCAAATGCTGGCTTCTCAGAGACAGCACCATAAATATCCGAAAAGAAATGACCCAACCTGCTGTCCACTGCTACTTCTCCGTGGCCTCAATATGTAGGGCTATGAGTGTCACATACTTCAACCATTACTGGACCGCATCTTTTGTCCCGGTTTTAGCCTCTGATGAGAAGCCCTCAGTCTCTGGGGAAGTTCCCTTGCACTCTCTGAGACTCTCCCACACCAACAAGGCATTGCCTTGCTTGCTTTCACTGTGGTGACTGCCTCGGCCAGCACACTGAATGTCACCATCCAGCCCTTTCCTTTGACAATCACCTGTGCTGGCCATGCAAACCACTGGACCCTCCACACCGGTGCAAACCCACTCTGCTCACTCCCGGCAAGGAGTAGAAAGAGAATGAGGTCTCCCTGCTGCACAGAATTGCCTTCGAACTCCATGTGCTTTTTTTTTAACTCAGCTGTTAGATTAAGAGGCACACCAAGCTCTTTGAAGCTAGTAAGAGGCCGCTCTAAAAGAAGGAAGAAGGGCATTACCACACATTTTGTGTGTGGGACAAATAAAGTCCCAGAACTGTAAATATATTCTGTAGTTACAGAGAGTGAAACACTTTTATTTTCTCTTTTACCTTATTTAGAAAGATGGTTTTTTGCTATAGGAAAAGTCTGGATTTTTCTCTTGCCAGCTCCCTAACTCTCCCATGGATTGACCTTTTGAATCAAAGGGAGAGATCACATCAATATCAATAAGCCTCCTGTTCAAGCCAACCCCCCACCCCCGCAATGATATGCACAGGACTTTTCCAGCTTCAGGTAGAGGGGAGTGACAGCCCCAGAGGCTCTGTCAGACCAGCTTCTCTCTGTCCCAGCAGCTATTTTGTCCCTGAATAAATCATTCAAACCTCAGACTTCCTTCATTTAGAATAACATGACAATAAAATTTTCCCCAGTCCTTGTTGTGTTAAATGAGATGGGATATGCGAACACTCTTCTTAGTAAATCACAAAGGCCCATTCAAATAGAAACCTCTCTCATTTTCCCTGCTGCTGACATGTCCTCTAAGCATTTTGCCTTGGTCACTTGAGAAATCAAATATCAATGAGGAAGGGAAACATCTGTGAAGACTTTCTTAGCAGCTGACAAAAGAAGCATTCCTGCGGGGTACACCAGGCTCAGGCTCCAGTTGATCAGAGGGTAGGAAAGCATGTACAAAAAGTCAGCAGTGGACTAGGGACTTAGTTCAGTGGTTCTGCCGCCTGCCTCGCAAGCACAAGGTCCTGAATTCAATCCCCGATACCAAAAAAAAAAAAGAAAATAGAAAAAGTCATCAAGGAAGAAAAGCAATAAACTATAAAATAAGTTCCTTATGCACCTGGTTACCTTGACACAAAAGCAATTGAAAACTGCTGGGATGGATAGCACTTGTAAATGTCTACTTTTCTCTATCATATGAAGACTATATTTTTCTCACTCTTTAAATATTAATCATGCATGCGTTCAAGGTGTTGCATTTTCTGAGCTGCTATTAAAAATACATATGTTCTTGCCACATTAAAGGAAGAGCAGAGGCCTGTGTGTTATATTATTAATCATGTGCTGGAAATGAGTTTCTGGTCAGCCTTTGTGGAAAGCCCACACTGCCCCAAGGCAAAGGATTTTCCAACGGGGCGGAAACTGTGTGGTGTGAGGCTGGTGCCTCCATCTTAGCAAGTACTTACTCTTGAGGTCTAAGTTCCTGGCTCCAGCAGTGATTTGTGTTGTGATTTTTGTGTCGATTTTTACAGTGTGGAGATTGCTGGTATCCCTTGATATCATCACATTGTGCCACTGATTGTCGTTGAGTGGTTTGTTTGAGCTCCCTTTGATGAGGTTAGCACCATTTCCCAAATCAAACACATAATGTAAGTACCTGAGGAAAAAAGAAAAAGGAGGAAAGTGTCACGGCTTTTAGAATTTGTGATGGAGCTAAATCAGATATTACCGGCAGAGACTTTCCCCCACTCTCGTGGCTCTTTCCTTGCTAGACGTCCTGAGAGTGAGTTACATAGAAGCTGGTCTAGTGGGATGGTAAGGAACCACCACTTCAGCAGAAGGTGCGACCTTTCACTATGCCTTCCCCATTTCCACCATTTGCTCTCCTCTGTCCTAACCACTCTGAAATAGTAATTCTCAGCTTCTAGCATGTGTTTTCCTTTCCATTTTGAAGCCTTGTTGCTGTATGGGAAAGACGCCCTCGTGCTTAAAGACCACATTCAGATATCTACCCCCTCTCCATACATCTTCTTAATTTCCTTAATTTTCTCCTAAGCATTTGTATATGATCATTTTAGGAAACTTTTCATAATGTTTTTCTTTTCTATGTTGTTTCACCTGTAGACACTAGGATTGTATGTTAGGGAGTGAGCAGACACACTTGTGTGTGTCTCATAGTTGGTGGGAATCAGATACACACAGGAATGGCAAGGAAATATACCTCTATATAGCCTGGTACATTATCTAACTCACTGTAAACTGAGTGAATGAATAAAAGCTCAAATCAAATTTTTATCCTTTTAAAAGAATTTCAAAAAAAATATTCTTTCTAAATTATTCAAGGAATTCTGACATAGAATTAAGCCTGAAGTAAAATTGTAGGACATTTAATTTTAAATTATTTGGATTACCTATTTATTTTAGTACACATCTGTACTAAACTTGTAGAAATTCTTCTGTAGAATTACATTGTGCATAGTCAAGAACTACACATTTGAAATGTGACATTTAGGGAATGCCAAACGTAAATTAGAACTTGACGTGATTTGTACCACATAGGTCAAAATGCAGACATAAATGAGTATACTGAAACAACATATAATTAAGAATCATAATAAGTGATACAAATAAATCTGCTATTTGTCCTCCTCCTGGCTACCACCTTTTATACCAATACATCCTGTTCAATGTGTATTTTTGGAAACGGAAGACCATTTACCCAAAGTCTTACTTATTTGCCACTGCAGTAACATATACTTACCCTTTAACTAATTCAACCACAATAAAGTCATTTCCATCCCCACTATTATAGAGAATTAGTCCATCTAAAGATGTGGTCTTGAACTGGAAAAAAAGATGCATAGAAGTGTAGGCTTGCAATGTAGCTAAGGCAACATAGCTTGATTTGGTCTTGAAGGTGACAGGGTCTGCAATGATGTTCCTGAAGCCAAATCTGGCATTGAGCTCACAGTAATCTATATCACCGTTTTTACACAAGTCAATGTATGCCATTCCATTAAATGTCAAGCTCTGCAGGTGCCCAATGAAGTTGGAGGGCACAGAGGACAGATATCGGCGTTCTGTGATGATGCCAGTCTCTATGTTGTGGAACTCCAGCCTCGTGTGGTCACCTGCCATTTGGCCTAAAAGAAGAGATTTTATATGTTATAACCTCTGGCACCCAAAAGACACCTTCAGCTTTAGACTTCTATGGCAATCATATATTTTAAAACACAAGAAAACAAAAGCTTCCTTGATAGTCAGTTGTATACAGTGAAAAATCCCTAAGAGATATGAAAGCGTAAGCTTGGTTTTCACCATAGCATTTTCGCAGGTCTGTAGTAATCCCTATTCGAGCGTTAGTCTTAACAAAAATCCTCCTCATTAACATAAATTACAAAATGTTTATTACATGGAAGAATGAAAGGAAAGAAGGGAGTGAGGTAGGAAGGAAGTGAAAGTGAGAAAGGGAAAAGGCAAAGATAAGAGAAAGGGGGAGGGATTAAGGGCAGTGGTGGTCCTGTATCACCCCATTAGGAACTGATATATCTCAGCCGCAAGGTTGGGGGATGCTTTTCTTTAAACAGTGAACTGCTGTTGACTATTCTTCCAATAATAAACCATTTAAATGTATTTGGAGTTGAATGTGTTCTTTCATCCTCCCTAGTCTTTCATCCTCTCTAGTCTTCTGTAGTATTGCTACGCTAACACTACAGAAATACTTCAGACCCCTGGACCTATCGGTCAATGGTCCTTGCACTTTGGCATGGCATAACCAAACTGACTACCATGTACTAACTCAAAGCACAAGCAATTTTGAAAATACCAGTAAGATTAGTCTACCTTACCGCCAGGTACAATCTTCTTTAAATATCCTGGCGGGAAGCTTGGTTGCAGACATAGTAGCTCACTACTCAACTCAGCCTCTATGCCTCTCCATCCCACCATGTTCCCCCTCAAACTCATTAAAAGTCAACCTGGTCCCTTCAAAGTGAGGATTCTATCTTCCTATAAGGTTGAAAGTAAACAAATAAAAGCATGAACTTACATCCTATACGGGAAAGCATGATACAAATAAAAAGTACTCTTGGCTAGTGGTTCATTCCCAGCATCTTGTTCTTGTCTAATTAAACTGTCATTACTTTGTGCTTCAACTCATAAAGTTCATTTAAATTACAATGAAGTTCTGCTACCCAAGTTCTTGGCTGGTTTCCCTACTCAATTTGGCATAATTGGAAAATTTATCAAGCTTACCCTACCCCATCATCCATGACATTAATGAAAATATTAAGTAGGGCCAATCCTAGAATCAGGCCTTGAGAAAAGGCACTGACCCTTCTTCCCATGTGTATTGAAGACCGAACACCCATCTACATGTGCCTTCTTAGAATAGACTGATGGGCTTTCCTTTCCTTAATGAAAATGAGTAAGATATTGTATAGCATCTTCAAGAATTGCCTAAAAGCAAAATATAAAATGTGTGCTTATTGTGGTACAAGAAAAACGTTTTATATACATAACTGATTGACTTTGATGATTATAAATTCATGGGTATAAAAGATAATCCCACCTACTGTACTTAACACTGCAATATTTTCAAATCCTCTTTACTAGTCCTTAATCTTTCATGAGAGTACTCCAAATATCCTCGCCATGCTCTCTTGACAGCCGATGGTTGGCTCTGATTTCTTTTCCACACATTTTTTTAAACAGAAATTGCCACTCTACTTGTCTCTTCTCTTTCCCTACTACCATCATGCCTTCTGATTGTCTATCTGATGCAAAATACTATTACATTCTTAGCAGTTCTGGCTTATTGTACGACATTATTTCTCTCTCCTTCCTTCTTCTTCAGTGACCACAATATTATTCTGTGGGGTCTATCTCTTTGATAACAAATCAGTCTTTACTAATTTCCAAGTATAAAACTCTAGAGACATTAGCAACACTGAATCAATAAGCTATATAGAATGAAGCATGAAAAAAATCACTTGTTTTTGAAATCACTATGTGTTACTTTTTATTTTGGGGGTATATCAAAATCTGTATATTAATTCAGTGAATCCGACTCCATTCCTGAAACTGCCATGCTTCTTCTTAAAGGTTCTACTGTGAACAGACAATAGCATATCCAGAAAAAAACATTTCTAACGTTTAACATTAAATACTATTCCAAACTGTCAAGTTCTTGGCAGCTCTGAAATAGGGAAGAACATTTCCTTTAGTAAGACTGAGAAGTTCAGTACCAAAAATAATACTTAGTATCTGTTTTTCTTTCTCAAAGGAATGGAGTATTTATGCAGAGCCTAAATAATAAAAAGGTAGCAAAACAGTGTTAAAACAACCATGCCTGAGATATGAGGGAATAAAACCTTATGATCCACATTCAGAAGTTTATTTTTGGGGCTGGGGATTTAGCTCAGTGGTTTCACCACTTGCTGCACAAGCGCAAGGACCCAAGTTTGATCCCTGGTACCAAACAAACAAGAAGTTTATTTTTACTCTAAGAAGCATATATAAATCACACAGTTATGGCAGATATGCTTTCTCACGGGGGAGAATTAGCACCTGAAGACAATTACCCACTAAAGAAATAGCGGCTGTTTCCTTTAAAATCCTTTCTGTTTGTAACTTTAACGTGTATTTCATCTTCCTCATATGCATGTTCAGTAAATAAGAACAAATAAAATTTAAAGGAGAAAAATGTTATGATTATTTTATGGAGGAATATTTTTATGGTTCTAAAATATGTGTATGTATGTTTACGCACATATACAATTTGCATATATGTGTGGATGTTTATAGGTATATACAGGTACAGGTGTCTACACTTGTATATATTTCCTAGCTCTGCCTGCTAAAGGTGTCAGAAAGCAGACACTCACATATGACCATCTAGTTCTTTGCTTATATTATTTCTCACCAAATGGAAAAAGAAGAGATCAGTTGCTTGCTCTGAGTTGGGTTAAATTTCTGGCGTGGAACAAAATAACCTCTGGGCCTTAAGTCCACTTGTTCCTGCACTGAGAGCTATTGTGTGCTCAGTGTAAATACCATGTGCTGTGGTACGCGATCAAGAAACAGTGTTGAGAGCAGCAGACATGGGCCCTGCTTTCACAAAACTTGCACTCTATTAGGGGAAGGCAGACCAAAAGGGGCAGCGTGTAATTAAAAAACTCAGAAAGATGTGAATTTGATGAATGGGGTGTTCTGTTGGTGCACGTGGAATGAGAGCCGTCAGCTGAGAGCGTAGTTATGCTGGATTTGATGGATTGAACAAAAGCTATAATAAAACCTGTGGAAAGGAATCAGCAGGTGGATTCCAGGACAGGGAGAAAAATGAAGCAAGTTTTTGGGAGAAGCACACGCTGGAGCCATGATAAAGTGAGATCAATGGCTCACACAAGGTCCAAAGGACACCAAAGGCCAGATCTCTCACCAGGCATCCTAGTTACACTAGGAACTATTAGAGGGTTTTAAGTAGGCATAAGGCATGAACTGTGTGTGTGTGTGTGTGTGTGTGTGTGTTTTAACTACAGTAGCTGGAGCAGAAAATGGACAAAATAAGATAAATTTTCAGGTATAATCTGCAGGATTTAATGATGATGTGCAAAATGATGGAGAAGAGTAGGCTTGAGTAAATGGATATAAGGTGAACACTTTCCCACGAGGAAACAGGCAAACACACACACATACACGCCAAAATTTCAGATTTCTAGACAAAGTAATAAGTTGAAACCCAAAGACTCCACATGCATTTTCTTATCCTGCACATTGTATGACCCTTTCAGATGCGAAAGGAAGTCTCTCTCCTTTGGCCTCTCTGATGAAGACCTGGGTGAGGTGGGGACATCCTCAGGAACAGCCTGAGTATGCTCAACTCTGTGTTCAACAAATAATAGGATGACTATGGTCTAAGATGTGGAAAAGTGTAAGACCTCCCATGAAGGGCTTCTAGTACTTTTCTTTTTAAAATTCTTCCTGTGTTATTTGATAAAAACTCTTACTGTTTTCCTGATTCATGAGTGGCTGCAAATGGGCCACTATGTTGTTTGAACAAAATCCCATTCCAAATTTAAGCCTCAATTATGAGTTCTCATTATTCCTTTTAGAAATCCATTTCATATTAGACAAATCAAGACTATTTATTATTATGAACTGTTAACTTCATGAGATCTTTGACAAAAATGAAGAATGGAAAGAAGAAAAGTGCATAAATAACTAATCAAGCTAGTTACATACTCATCACTTGAGTATATGTGTTAATCTTAGATGGAGAGGAATAGGAAGAATCACAAAGTAATCCTGAATTCTCTTTAGTTGGTTTATCAATTTAATTGGTATAGGCAAAGCAATTATGAAACTATTCTAGATGCATTATAAGATTGAGCAAATGAATAAATGATATTACTAGGAGCCAAATTTTCATCTTGGGGAATACATATGGATATATATAATGTGGGAAATCAAGAAACAGTGTTGTAAATAAGGAGGTCCCAATGTAAAATCGTGTTTTGGAAAGTACGTATATCTGCATGTTGATGTACACAAGTAATTTATGAGTGTGCATATATTCATGTGGATACATAAGTGCAGGTGTGTATACTTGAATATATTTCCTATTTTCCTGCTGAAAGGATCAAGAAGCTAAGGTGCTCTACTAATGATGAGCATGCTATTTGTATTATTCCTAATTTAAATGGAAAATAAATGGCTAAGTCTTTGTGCTGGAGGAGGGAAAATATTTATGACATATAAACAACATTGGCTCAACTGATAAACTGGAATATGAAAGATGGAATATATAGAAATATTATATCAATGCAAAATGTACTGAAGTTGGTACATATTGAAGCATGTAGGAATATATAGTCACTATCTATGTCATTTCCCCTTGACTGGTAAAGGAAAGAAATGGGGTGGTCATGAGAAACTACAAATGTACAAGCAAATGGGATAAAATTTTGAGCTTTTCATAAATTTAAAATTATTTCTAAATAAAAAATTTAAAAAGCGTTTTATACCATTCTTTTTTCTCATCCCAACTATAGTTTAGTATTTACTACTTTACATCCCAAACCATGTAATACACTGTTACAGGATTAATTTCCTCAAAAATAATTCTCTGTTTACCCTTCAGCTTAAATTTAGTGACTTAAATTATCTGAAAGACCAAGAAATATAAATTCCTCAGTTTTGATTGCTGACTCCTTGACTTCAAAAGATCATTTTCAACTTTAACAAACATCCTGTGGTCACATGAAGTCAAAAACACTTCCTGAACATAAGTCTCTCTAGTCCTATCAGTGTCATTCCTCATTCTTTCTTTTGCCCAAAACTCTCCCACATACTCCCTCACCTCCACCCCTGTACTGGGAATTGAACCCAGGTAGCTCTGAGTTACATTCCCAGCCCTCTTTATATTTTGAGACAGAGTTTCCCTAAATTGCTCCAGCTGGTTTTGAACTTGAGCTCCTCCTGCCCCTGCCTTCTGAGTAGCTGAGATCCTAAGTAGGCCTTCCTCCATACTTTTATCTCTAAATCATTCTTTCTTTAAAGCCTAGTTCCAGTATTATTCATTGGTTTAAACCAGCACTGAAACCAAGTTCCTCAATCTATCTTCTGAACTCTAAGAGTATGATTTCCTTCTGTAATCAATCAATACATCACATAACTACCTTATATTAGCAAGTATCATCTGAATTTTATAAGTATTTCTTACCCTAATAACATGATGTTATAGCTTGGAAAGAATTTAGCATACAGCAAAACACTTCTTAGGATGATAATGAATACAAAAGAATAGACAAAGAGTCAACAAAAGAACCAAAAAAACCAAAAAACTAAAACCAAACCTAGGCTCTCTTCTCAGTTCTGTAAACAACAGAATTTCAATGAAATGCACTTCATCAATCCTCTTTGAGTACATTTCCTCAATTTTAAAACTGAAATATATATGCTGCCCTATCTACTTCACAGGGCTGTGTGCTTTTGACAGGAACTCAGAGAGTAGAGAACATTCTGCGGCGGTTTTGTATGTTTTTGACCCTAGCAGTTCTTTGGTTGATACCTCTTGATCTTTATTTTAGACCTTGTTTATTTTCATCCCTTTGGATAAAATTTTAATGTTTATAAAATGAATATTAACCTAAAAAGCAATCTATTTTTCTTCCAAGAACTGTCCTGACCAAAACTATCTAAACGTCAGTGGACACTGTCTTGCCTAAGCCCTGTAAAAACTCTGCTTCTTCCCTTCAGTTTAGATGACTCTAGCAGTCTTTTGACACTTGGCAGTCTTGGACAAAGGCGTATGGTAACAACAGTCTACTTGATTTTCTTCCTCAGAGAATAAAATTGCATAACATAGCTGTGGCTTCTAAATGCAGATCTGCACATGAGCTGTTTTGAAGACCCCTGCAGACTTATGAAGCAAAACAAATTACTGGGCTCCTCCTGAGGCTTCCCATGGTGTGAGGCTCTGAACTCTTCCTTTAAAGCTCTTCAGGCGGTTGTGAAACAAAGTAAATTTACACAATAAAGTTCCACAACATGTAGAAAAAACATTTGGAAAGCCATAGTGAGCTGATGAAATGTAGGCTAGTAAAAGGTCTCTGAGTTGGTAGTTCCTTTATTTGAACTCTCAAATGACAGTTTCAAAAGTTATAATCCCATACAAGCTATTTCCACATTGATAGACTTGACCATTCTCTGAGCATGGGGACCTCTTGGGATTGGATGCAGAGCAGACATGTTTCCAAGGCACAAGGACCATCTTGTGCTTTGCAGAGAGATAATTAACACAGAAATGTTCTCTACCAAAGAAAAAGGACCTAATATCTCAGTGGGTCATGTGCTTGGATTTATTTCAGAGAAGATAAAGGTGTGCTGATTTCTCTTTCATTTGTCTTCTCTATGTCCCTAGGGTGGATCTTTATAAAGCTCACCTCAGCTAGGACTCTATGAATTAAGAATTGAACTTGACATCTTTAATATTGGATTTCAATCAACTGAGCTAAATGACCTAAAATGATCTATTATATGATCATATTATTGAAGTTCATACAATGGAATATAAAAGTAGTTCACCTGACAGAATGTCAGTTTATCTATCAATTTACATAGAAAGTAAAAAGTAGAACTTTCTTCTTTTCATCATCAAAATACATAAGAAAGAAAGAATCTGAACACAAATTGGTATTCACAGGGTAGCTTCAATATTTTATGAGGCACTAAGATATTTATCAAGGCACTAAATTAAAATCTACTATAATTTCTTCTTGAATTTTTAAAGGACAAAGAATACGGCATTAAAAAATGCAGTTCATTTGGAGAGAAACAGTTTTCAGATTCCTTATTAAATGAAGTTGTTACTAAAAACTGGAATTAAAAATGGACTGTGCATATAAGCTTCATATTCTGTGCCAACATCTGCCACCTGCAAGAAATGAGAATGTCCACAGCTTTATGGTAAGAACAGGACATATACCTGTCATGGCCTGTTGATCATCCACCGTTAACTTTAAGCTTTTTCCTCGACGAACCACACGCACAGTGTGCCATTCATTATCATTGAGGTTATAGCCAGCAAAAAGGGTCTCAGGACCTTTGCCTGTAGAATATGCCAAACAGTCATTATGGACACTCAGAATCAGTCAAGCAAACGAACCTCATAGAAAGTGAGAGAAAGAGACAAAGAAGGAGGGAAAGCAAGAGAGAGGGAGGAGAGAGAAAAAAGAGGAAGAAGTGAGAGAAGAGAAGAGAGACGAAAGAGACTGGCTGGACCAATTTTCAAGCCCATTAGAGTCATAGCAAGCAAGGAAAATAACTAGTTAACAAACATTCAGGTGTGACAATTTAAGAATCTTTAAACATTATGCATCAATTTAAAACAAGTGAATGAACCTGTTGTCATAAATAGGCACAGTCAATATAGCATTGGGAAGCCTCCCAACTTACACATACACTTTCTTTAAAGGAATTACCCAATTTTTGCAATGACCTCTTTCTTGCTAGTGAAGAGCTTAGCGGTCACATAATCTCTGAGATAAGTGACCCTCGGTCCTTAGTGAGCCATTTTCAGTGAAAGGACAAGTGGCGGGTTGGACTCTACAGTGGCTCTGGGTGCCATGCTGAGAGATCGCTGCTCTTCCGTTCTTATGTCGTGTAACTCCAGCATTCACCAAGATCTTAGGTTCACCGGCCTCCCATATGTGCGCATTATTCTGTGTAAAACCCCTTCTTCAACCATGGACCAATATGCTACAAATCTCAGTGTGTGGTGGAAGACCTTCTGCACAGGGGGTGAAAGTTCTGACCTGGAGAAAGCAGACTGAAACAAAGAAGGCCCAGCTGGGAAGGGCCTAGTGTGCTGTCAGGTGGGAAAAGCAGTATTAGAAGGCAGGGATTACCAGCTAGATGACAAAAAGAAAAACATTTTTAAAGGCAGGTAGTATAGACAGCTGAGAAAATAACACCCAGTGCATCTATGTAAATGTACAGAAATAAAGTGTAAATATAAATAGAGTTAGAACAGACCTAGTATTTCAAAAAGGTATTTAGTGGAAATTTCTGAAATGACAAAGTTGGACTATGTTTCTTTTCAACTTAAAAACAAAGGAAGGAGGGCCGAGATTTAGCTCAGTGGTTCTGCTGCCTGCCTGGAAAGAGCAAGGTCCTAAGTTTGATCCCTGGTACCCCCCCCCCAAAAAAAAGAAGAAAAGGAGGGAAAAATACTTTTGATGTACCTGAAATTTTTATTAAAATAACTATTTCTATTAAGCCAATATGATTCATTTAGAAAAATATATTAAAATATGAGGTGTGATAAAAAATACAGTGAATGGTAAACTTTTTTTAAAAAATTAGAGGAAAAAAATATTACCACTAATCACCCTCAAAATTCACCCTTTGTTTCAAACACACTTATCCAGTCTTCTTGCTACTTTCTGAAGCAGTTCTGGAAATGAATGTTGTTGTTTATGGATGTAGTTGTGCTGTTGGGGCTGCCTGGATAGGTTGAATCATTTCGAAACGTTTACTTTTCATGGTCATTTTTGACTCTGAGGAAGACCTAGAAGTTGCACAGTGCCAGATCTGCTGAATAAGGAGGATGAGGACTCACCATAATGTGTTTACCAGCTTCCATTTTCACTGAACGGCATTTCACAACAGAATTCACCATATTTTTTTATCATATCTCATAAAGACACTTACAAAGCAGGACTTTCAGCAGTGATTCAGAAAGTGACAAGAATGATGGAATAAGTATGTTCAGAATAAGGGAGAGTCATTTGAGGGGGACTGATGACAATGTCTCTTCCTCTATAATTTTTTTTCCTCTATAATTTTTTAAATTTAACTGTATATTTTGATCACCCCTTCTGTATATTATTTGTATATTATATTATAAGTGTCTCTCATGCCTTTTTTAAAGTAAACTTGCTTGTACATAAATTAACAAAGAAAACAAATTAACCAAACACTTGACATCATTAAATTTCATGACTTTTGGGCCTGGGATTTAGCTCAGTGGTTTCACTGCCTGACTCACAGGCACAAGGTCCCGAGTTCAATCCCTGGTACCAAAAAAAAAAAAATGTCATGACTTTCTACTGATTGAGGATCAGGAACAGGGTTTGAAATTTCTTTAAAGAAATTCTAGTGGCAAGACTGATGTCTAAGGGTCATGGAAGACCATGTGAGACTACAAAGATACAATCCAGTGAGTAGGAGGAAGAAAAGAACGGACAAAAAAAAAAAATAAAGCCAGGGAAGCAAGCAGAAGAAATATGGGGCATCCATTCACAAAAGATCACTGTTTGCTTTATGAATTCTGGGTTATCCACACAGCCCTGGATTTTTCTCCTGTGGTGTTAATAAACCTTGTCTTCTTTGGCTAGCAAGCCCCTGGAGTTTAAAATTAGCCAGTGATATAAACTAATGTTTGCAATGTGAATTCACAATACCAACCACCATTAAGCTTACAACTCATCTTTTGCTTCTTTAGAATCGTTATATTGCAGATCCAGATACATGAATAAAACTCTTCTGGACAGAACAATTTTGAAAGGTTGAATACTAAATAACAAGAAGAAGCCTGTTAGTTCAGCAACTGCAGAAATGCTGTGAGACCAAATGTTGAAAGCAAGTTCCAAGATCAAAGGAACTCTTTCTAGTTTCAATAGTGGAGAAAGAGGCGCTTAATAACTCTACAGCTACTGAGCATCCTACTGGCAGCTAGGGTCATCCTTAGTTTTGATCTTTGAAAAGAGAATATATCATTTTAAAGTTATTTTTATAGGAGAGATATTTTCTTCTTATAAATGTGTGTTTTTGAAGCTGATTTTCTCCTGATCTTTTAATTCTCAATATGTTTTGTCAAGTAATAAAAGCATAAGGATGATATCATCATTATACCTCATACTGGGCTTGATCTTGCATTACAGTCATAATGCTTAATCTATGAAACAACTATTTCCATAACAACAGGCACAAAATCCAATTAAAAATAACCCTTTGGTTCATAAAAATCTCTGTAGGCCAACTTTAAGCTTCTTTCTTGCATTATTAAAAATCAGAACAGATTGATTTTGGAAGACAAGCATTTTAATAATGCACTTAATAGTCTCAGTTCAAAGCAATGTTACTCATGGCAACATAAAGTATAATAGAAAGCACACTGGACTTGGAGTTAAGATTACGGTTGCTAGTCCTAGATTCCCTACTAAAAGAAGTTGAGGGCCAGTGAGTGCTTATTATGTACCAGGCATTTTCATCTTTATATTATTATCAATTTGTAGATGTGGAATTGAAGGCTTAAGAAGCTAAAAAGTACTTCTCTCAAGGTCACACAGCTAAAGAGTGGTGGAACAGAGTGTCCTCCTAGGTCGGACCTCCTCAAAGCCTGCGTTCCTTCCCCCGCATTAGCCACCCTGCTAGTCATGAGACCCTTCTGCTATCTCTCAACTTCTCAGTTTCACATCTAACTGAGGGAGTATGGAAGACGTTCTTTGCAATGACTTTCGTCATTGTTTGCAATGACTTTCAATGTGCACTACAGAATCATCACACTGTTAGGAAAACCTCCATACCTCTGCATAAGTTCTGGTGAAAAAAAAAATCTTCAAACAACACACTCTTTATCTCAGGATGCTGAAATGGGTGTTACTAAAGACACAATATGGGTGAGGGGCCATCAGTTTAGGACTAGTCTCTATCTATACATAGCAATTTGTTAAAATTCAGCTTCTATTCATGTCAATATCTCCATCCATAAAATGAGGACATAATCTTGCTTATCCATACAGTTCCTTAAGAATCGCACATTTTCATAGAATTTTATGACATATGGAATTGCTAAAGTACGATGACCTCCTGTTGACATTTTGAGTTGGTAGCCATTTGCCCTACTGTCAAAATGTTAATAGAAAACTATAGTCATTGAAACTGTTAATAACCTGAATTCCTTTCGGCATATCAAAACATATCTCAATGATGCTAACACCTTTCTCCCAAAGAGAATACATGTATGAACTGAGTATCTGTGGTCTCTCAAATTCATATGTTGAATTACTAAGGCCTAATATTGTGGTCTTAAGAGATAGGGCCTCTGAGAAGTAATTAGGTTCAGATGAATTCATGAAGGTAGAGAAAGAAGAAGAGTCACAAAACATCCTCTGCTGTGTAAAGACACATACTCAATGCAGCCATCCACAAGCCAGGGGGAGGCCGTGACCAAGAAGCACATCTGTCCACACCTTGGTCTTGGATTGCACAGCTTCCAGAACTCGGAGAAAAAGTCTGTTGCTGACACAGCCTGGTCTATGCTCTTTTGTTATAATAGCCTCAGTAGGCTGAGACAGTGTGCAATGTTTTACAGACTTTTAAGAAAGCTCAAAGCATTGTTTCTTAAAATCATCATTCCTCATTTTGTGGGGAGTTGTTATTATATGCAATTTTATACTTAATTCTTACTATAACCGATTTAAGCCAGTAAGTATTATTTTACTTTTTTATTTAAGAAAGAAAATATAGAAATGTCAAGTGAATGATTTTAAAACTCAGAGGCAGAAGGGAATGCAGTTAAGATTGGGATTTTTGAGATCTTCCATTTCCATTAAAATGTCCTAAGGAAAGATAAACTTGAGTCATTTGTATGAAAATGAACTCACCTTAAAACCGTAATGTTAAGTGAAATAAATCAGACACATAAGCTTAAATACTGCATGATTTTCCTTATATGAGAAACCCAAAATATCAATAAAGAGCAAAATAAAAGACAAGTGATAGCACATAAGGAGATAGATATTTTGCAATTGGGAAGAGGGCCAAGAGATGGAGGGGGTGGATGGAAAAGGAAGAGGACAAAACCCAATTAAAATGTGTTATGTACATATACCAACTCCCCATGAGGAATGTGATCATGATATTCGCCAAACATGCACTACTAAAAATTGAAAAAAAAGTCCTTCCCACTGAACATGATAACCAGGTAGTAAAAAAGGTGCAACGAGACTGAATACCCAGAACTAATGATTCACCAGGCTGGGTCAGAATTCAGCTCTACAGGCAGAGGTTATTTCAAAGAATCTGAAGGGACAAGAGAGGTAT